TGTATGGGTTCCAGGTAAAGAAGATTATGTATGGGCGCCTATAAAGGGGACATTATAATGTATTAAAGGGATTAGAGAGAGACCTGTGATAGGGAACATTTTTTTTTTACTACTGCATGATCATTAGAGGCGACTTATCAAAAGACATATTCATATTGACTCTTGTGGGCCCCTTTGGACTAAATTTCTGGGCCATTACTCTGAAATGGTTGGGATACGGAATCCATAGCCATATATAACATTGCTGGGCATAAAGATACAGGTGAGAGATACCGGCCCTCTGGGCCTTTTGTTTTTGTATGTTTTACGGCGCATTGACATTGCATGTCGTTTAGGGCAAGACGACAATAAAAATAGAATTACACAAAACAAAACAAAACACAAAAGGTGAAATATATGTATTTCATTAGAAAGAGAGATTGAGTGTGGATAAGCATATATTGACCGCATAAACACTGTATCAAATAAACTTTAATATAGACGGTATATTATGGAATCTGTCACGTATTTGTTTGAAATCAGCGCATGAAATCATAACATGTTTTGACGGTAAAGTGATGATAATATGCATAAGGTTGGTCTTCTTATATAAAATGGTCTTCCTTAGGTACAATGTACTTATGTGTGACGTAAGCATGGTCTATGCACAGTCGCGGTATTACAACTTCATCTTTGCGGGCTGCTCTACTTTAGCACATTAACCTACATTAGGTTAAATTGCAGATATGTTATTGAATGTTAAAATCTGAATACGGCAGCTAAATACACGAGCCCACGAATTGGCCTCGTTATATTACATATAAAGCTATTCACACCCCTGCATTATTATGAACCATGTGTTAGGTAGGTGCTATTTATGTACTGATGTTAGCCTGCTAACCGGAGGGTAAAATAGTTTAAACAAATATACATAAAACACGAGAACTAGTTCACGACATAGGAACGACTATCGGGTTTTTTTGTATTTGAAAGTGTCATAGCTTGTTTTGTTGTCCTACTCACTTATCAGATATGTATGATGTATTCAGAATGCAAATTCTTTCGGTGACCGATCTATTATATTATTAGTGAAGATTCCTTACAGGGGTTCTCTGATTGAAAAACATGGTACAACATTGTGTACAGGGAGTGCTGTACATGGCGTATTTGCGAGGTAATTGTTGGACAGTGGTTGAGTCGGAGGGGTATAGTTTATTGATAGGGAATGTGTTAGTTGGGTCAATGCAAACGGTAGTGTACATGGTTAATTTGACAAGGAAGTTCACTGGAGGAGAATTGTACATGATATAAAAGTTTTACTTTATAAACATACCGTGTATGTATTAAACATGTCGGAACGTTTCCAGCCTGACTGGTCCCTTTGTCAAGCGATGACTCCGATGTATAAGATTTTTACGATACAGACGGTATGTGCTTAGGTTGAGGCAGATTGGGTTTTACATTGTTAAAACAGGATGTTAATTGGCTGTACATGATTTATTGGAGAAAGCTGTTATAATTGAACGAACAACTAGAGTTGTAAACGGTGTATTAGCTTATCTTGCCCGAAGGGCGTTGTCCGTCCGGCGTCAACTTTTTAGCCCACCATCAGAAGATGGTGGGCAATTCAAAGCACCCTTCGTCCGTGATCCATCCTTAAACATTTCTTGTTATCGCTATTTCCACATCAAGTACATGTGGGATCTTTCTCTTTGTTTTTTTCTTTTTCATAAGAAGATTCCCTTTTGGTCCTTAGTTGTGAATCAACAAAATGGCTGACAGGCGTTTAACAGTAAATGTTTGTTATCGCTAAATCTACGAAAGTACTACAGGGATCTTTCTCAAATTTTATACGTAGGTACCTCTTGGCCTGCTATTGTGCATGTTAACCTCTGAGACTGATCGGATGAACACAATGGCTGACAGGCAGCAATCTATGAATTTAACTGTGAATGTTTGTTATCGCTTTTTCTCACACCGTCCCAGTTGGGTCTTTCTCATTTGTTATGTAAGTTTCCCCTGGTCCTTCAATGAACATTTTTACTTTTGAGACTTATTGAATAAACAAAATTGCCGACAGGCAGCCGTCTTGGATTTTGACAGTAAAAGTTTGTTATTGCTAATTCTCAGAAAAAACTCAAATTTGATATGTAGGTTCCTTTTGGTCCTTAATTGTGCATGTTGTATTTTGAGAATGATTACAAAAGCAAGCTGATTGCAGATCTTTCTGATATTGCAACGATCAATATTGATACACTATAATGACGTAGTACAAGACGTACTTGGTTCACCCCATCCATGATTCCGCACTCGATGTTGTTTTGTTAATATGGTTTTTTTTTGTCACAACGTTTCGATGGCACAGCCATCTTAATCAAATGCCTCAATGTTTATGTCCATTACTAAGGACGCTACCTTATGACGTCATAAATGTCATTTTGACGTCATATTTTCCCGCACTAATTTCCTATTCCTTTTTATTCAATTAATTGGTAGTACTATACTTGTTAATATAAAAACTCTCCCTCTCACGCCTATATATTGCTCCGGACTTCTTAACCATTTCTTTTCCTACAATTTTGATATCCTTTACAGCGTGCCCGATGTTGTTGAAGTGTAGTGGTACCGAATTAAATGTATCTCCAGATCCAATCAGATGTAGGTGTCCTTGAATTCTTTCTTTCACCATATTTGATGTTTCACCTATGTTTACTAAATATTCACATTTTTAACAGATAAGTCCATATGTTCGAGGTCCTGCAGGTAATCTTATCGTCTATCCTCACTCTGTTTCAATCCTGACCCCTTACATAATCCTCAGTAAAAAGCTTACAGTTCACGCAGTTCCGTCCACATCCATTTCTTTTCATACCTTTACTTATGGTGGTTTTACCTTTCATGATCCTACTCGTTTTCTGGTGTAGCAACATGTTAGCAATATTTGTATCTCTTTTACTCAGAGGACACACTTTTTGAAGTTTTCGGGAACGGTGTTGAAGGTGCTGGTGTTTTTGCAGTATTTCTGATATACTCTGCAACTTGTTGCTGTATGTAGACACAAATGGAACTCGTTCTTAATTTCTTGTTTCTGTTCTTAATTCTAGCAATGTTGTTCTTTTTTTTATTATCGGCTCGTTTAAGTTGTTTCCCTATTCTGCATCTCCTATGACCCCGCCTCACACAAGCCTGCTCTTCATTATGCCAATGGTTATAGATTCATACATAACCCATTCTTATTCATTGAGAAGCGAAGGCCAGTCTCAATATGCAGAGCATGTCACGAACCATTTACAAGAGAACATTTTATAATAATATCACAAATCTAAAATCTCTATTCGAATTAATAAGTATCTCTACAATTCTAACCTAACAAAAAAGTGTTGGTCTGTTCAAAATGATATAACTAAACCATAGCACAGGCACAGAAATGTTCTCGTGGTATACTACAGGAATCAACTTTAGACCCGTTTTAAAATTCTGTAAACATTTATCTGTTGCTGTAGAAATTATCAGATGATTTCAGCCTATATATTTGATAAGCAGAAATCTTGCAAAAGTACAAGATGTACTTCAGTGACATTCTTTATATATAATACACGATGTAATAAAAACATACTTAATACTCAGTAATCAAAACGTGTGGTTATTGCACCAATAAAAAAAACTGTCAAAAATTATGTTGAACTTAACCTCAATTTTACAGACAGTAAAGTAGAACAGGTTTAAATTGACACGTCAAGGTTTGAATAATGTATTATCATTCTGCCTACAATCAGATAATAGGTTGGTTCAAGCGACTTCGCAGCCTTCTGCCGATTAAGTGTAGACTAAAATTCTGCAAAGCTCATGTCTTTCCCCCAATTTAATCTGCCATTGCACTGGGCTAATGTAACGCCTGTTTAAGTTGAGAACAAAAGGGTAACACTAAATATAACAATAGTGTGTTAGTGAAGAACTCCGTTTTATTTTAAACAATTATCAAGGTCTGGTGCTCCGGAGGTAGACAGTCGAATTAATTATTCAAAGACACTCCGTATTTTAGTTCTTTCGGGACTCAAAGACAGTTTTTGAATAGACATGAATATGTTTTGAATCTCAATATTATCATTAGGGTAAATTGGTGATAACTTATTTCTGTGTTGCTGATCAAGCATTATGTGAAATGAATTGATTAACCAGATTTGTGCAAACAGAGTGTTTCTTTTTGGTTAAATTTTCAGGATTTTCGAATATCTTCATATCTGTAATTTGTTTTAACCATAATGATGTTTGGTTAGTTTTTAGATCTTTGTAGTAGATGATCATTTAGCTAGACAGATTGTTACGATTATTAGTATTAAGGAATGATAATAAGTACAATTCTCTCTTCTTTTATTTGCAGTGAATCCATTGCTAGCAAACACGTTGTCAAAACAAGGCGGTGTCCTCGATACCATTGGAGAACAGCAGTGGATTCGCTCAAAAGTCGACCCGCAATCATGAGTTTCCAGACATTTGTAACGTTTACTGTTCTTATTCTGTCTGTTAATGAATCCTTCTTCAAACAAACCGCACAGGAACATGTGTGTTCTCCGTGCCGTTGCTATAACGTCACTGCAGATTGTAGCAACCGGAACATAACAAAAGTACCGGCCTTGCGCAGCAACATTACACAAATCATTCTTTCTCAAAACAACTTGACTACAGTTACAAGGAAGATATTTGAGAGGGTTAAAACGCTTAATATTACAACGATAAAGCTTGATTACTGTAAAGTAACTGCTATTTCCAATGACGCATTTCTGGATTTTCAACAATTAAAACACTTAA